CGCCGCCCCCACACCCGCCGCCCGCGGGCCCTCCGCCTCGCACGCCCGGCCCAGACCAGGATGTAATGCCAATTAGCACGGAATTGTGGCGCCACCGCAGGGGGAAGAAAACGGGGTGGGGAAAGAGGAGGGGGAAGGGGAGGAAGACAAATTAGGTTGGTATCACTTTGGCGTGCACCCTGAGAAAGTTCAGCCACCTCGCACGTCGCGTATAGGGATGGCAGCGCTTCGTGCTAACCTGTGTAGGTGTAGCAGAAATGTCTGTTTCTTACAAACCTTCACGTGTTTTCACAATGGTATCCATTTTTTCAATATTTCTCCTGTGGTCCGTGGGTTGTATGATGGCTCTAATACAAACCCACGGTGTGCTTATAGCACACGCAAGGAACCGTGCACCAGGTGTATCTTGGAATGCGCTGCGGTAGCGTAGCGGGTTTGTCTTATCTTTTCGTTCGTAAGGCACCGCGCGCAACGACCCCTGCCTGCAGCCCTAGCGAGCATACGTATGCATAATCCCGCTCCCAACATGGTGGGAGCGCATTCAAAGACACATCCAGTACTCTTACTTACGTGTGCTTAGTACATTGTCAAGTTTTCAACATATGTCAGTGCCCTTCCCCCCCCTCAGCCCTCTCTCTTACTCTCTCTATCTCTCTCTCTTAGTCACGCCCGGCCACGGCTTTGCGGTACACCCCCGCTCTCCCTCTCGAACCGCGGCTCTCCCCTTTGCATTGCATGTCCCAACCACCGCAGCCCACAGCCCCACCCCTCCCTCCTCCTCGGCCGAAAGCCTTCGTGTGCGTGATGGTGACGGACTTGTCGTCGTAGCGGAGGCGAACGGACCGCTTTCGCGCGTCGCTCGCGGTTGCCGCGCGGTCGTCCTGCGTCGCTATGTCGCCGGGCTCGGGCACGCGGGACTCTGGGGTGCGGCGTCCCCGGGCCGTCGGGACTGTCCGTACCCGGGGGTTGCCAGGTTGCCGCAGTAAACATGTCGTGCTTACCAATATCCGATATTGATGGCGGGTCCCCAAAGTGCCGCTGCTCCGAGACACCCGGTCCAGCCCGGCGCGGCCCGGCCGGTGGCGGCGCTCTGCGGCGGCGACATAAAGAATCAAAACGTTATGGCGGCCGAGACGCCGCTCTTATTAGCGAAAGTGAGAGGGGGGGCGCGGGCCTCGACCCGGCGCACCTGGCGAGACCCAAACATGAAACTGTCCCGACGCGGCAACTTCTATGGCGCCGTCACTTGGAGCTTGGAGCCGATGGCAGCGGCTGGAACACGGCGAGGAGACCCTCGTGGAGATGCACGGAGGGCGAAGAAAGACGAGCAGCGGCAGGTGACAAACACCACGCGACTATGACTCTTGTGACTTCTACTTCATTCGGATTGTTTAAGCCGGTTTAAGCCTTACAAAGAAAAATGCCAAATCCTTTGTAGATACGTACGAAGGGAGGCGTTTTGCTTCCTAAGGTTTTAACTGCGCGGACGAAATTTAAACCCCTCCGGTCGTTTGCTCTCCTAGTGAAAATGGTGAAAGGTGTGTTTGTTCCAAAGTCGCACATTTTTCCAACCGGTGCTATTGCCCCAGGGCTGAAAAAAAAAAGTTTCCTGGCGGTGCATTCTCACTGTGACACTCCTATCCTTTTACATGGAGTGCATCGCATCAAGAAACAACGTGTTCTCCCGAAAACTGCTTGGATGCTTTGTGTTTGTTGCCAGTGTCACCGAGCGAGCAGGAGCGCGCAGCAGGCCGTTCACTCGCCAACACTCGACGCTGCGATTAGCTTTTTACCGCCGCAACATTCTGGACGACATATGACGCTGCCGTCGGGAACGACACACCGCGACGGCCTTGTCGTGTATCTGCCGGGGCGAGGCGGGGCGGGGTGCGGCACGGAAGTGGCACCGAGTGGCACCGAGTAAACTGTGTGTTCGTGCGTTGGCGCTTTATCGCGCGGGTGTGGCTCCCGGGAGGTATAGGCACCTCCTCGGACCGCGCCGCACGTGCGCGCTGCGGGCGTGCGTACCCGCCGGGCGCCACCGCACACCCGCAGAGGCACCGGGTGCTGTAATGCGGATGTAGCTCCTCTCGTACAGCCAACGACAAAAAACAAAAACAAAAAAAACTGGCAGGAAACTGCGTGCTTGACAGAGGAGGAGCAACATTTTTACACGCCGCGGTATCGGAGGGGCATTGCTGCTGTTGAGCACCAGATTAGCCTGTGAGCGACGGTCAAACAGGCGACGGCAGACTTATCGTCGTGCTCAACTCGTCGCTCACCTGCACGGCGATTTTCTTATGACCGGGTGGCTTAGTGTATAGCAGACTTTTTGATGTGCCGTTAAAGACTTCACTTTTTGTGGTTTTTGTACCAAGAGAGCCTCGTTACGTGGAGCAGCTCGGTGCCGTGTGCGGCAGAAGGACGTATAACGTCGCAGCTGCAGAAAAAAAAAGTATCGAATCTTTCCGACATTAATATTTAGGGCGGTAATAATCCTGGAGTTCGAAGGACAGTGACGGGATGAAGTACCCACAAAACATTGGGCGCGGGCGGGGGCGG